AGGCTAGTACCCATACTTGAAGAAGAAAGGTGAAAGAGATTGAAATTTTAGCTAATCTTTAGCAAACTCAAACCTATACCATCAAGTAGCTAAGTTTCTAAAGATTTATAGCTTTTATTAACATAAACGGTAAGTCAACGATAACTTCACACACATGAATGGGAAGTCTGCCATCGACTTTAGCTCTTGATTTTAGGAAGCTATCAATAATTTTATCATATAAGTGAGAAGCCATCGACAACTTCATTTTGCTTAAGCAAAAAGTAAACTAGTTTGAAAGCCACTTAGCAACTTCATCACATAAATAGAAAGTGCTGAAATGACTTTATTTCGATAAATAGAAAGTAGCTAAAAGGACTTTAAAACCATTGGTATTTTCTTCACATAAGGGGGAAAGCAACGATGACTATATTTCAACACACATAAATCAAATAAAATTGGTTTAAAGGTCATTGACGATTTCATCCACATAGGTGGAAAGTTATTAGTAACCTTAGGGATGGCAATGGGGTCGGGTGGGGATTGCCATCCCATCCCAGCCCTTCTCCTAAAAAAATTTCCTCATCCTCGCTTTGTGCCACCGAACGAGGTAGAATTTTCCATCCTATCCCCACATCAAATGGGGATGGGGATCCTTGGGGAGAAAACGAGGCAAAAATTACCTTTTATTTTCTTACAACCATAGCACCTAAGAAATTAATTGGTTTGCTTGCAGTCGCAGAACTATAAACTTCTTGCCTAAAATATAGTCAATAAATCTAAAGAGAAGTCGTCAAGACATAGCATGTATGGATGCAACAAAGGTTAGAAATTCAATCCTTCCCTTTACCTAGCCATTAAAAAAGAAAAGGATGATATCAAAGAAAAAAATAAGCAATCACATGAGGCGAGAGGCTCCCAATGGCATTTCTTCCTTGAGAGATACAAAGGTTTGAAATGCATGATTACCGAGCATAAAAAATTTAGTTACAGAGTTATAGGCCATTTAATGGACTAAAGTTTAGTCCAAGAGCAATTACCATCTCAAAAAGATCCAATCATCCAAACCAACCGCTTAGCCATCCAATAACTCGAATATATTCTTAGAATATATTCCTTTATTTTCCTTATTTCTTTATAGATATACACAAGATATAGTAATAGCTACTAGAAATTTGTTTTGGTATCAATACCAAGTTGAGTGGGCATGAGTCTAAAAGATATATATAATTTGTTGAGGATAGAATCAAAACCTCATAATTTATGCTAAAGCAAACACTCAAAACCCTCCATCCTCCTATATAATTATAACCCGTTTCATAACGAAGTTACCTTAGAAATACGAGCTAAAAAAAGCATGGAAGCAAGAATGGACCGAGCGTACTCTAGCTTCCATGTGTTTAACTCCTTTACCTTTACTTGTTATTTTCTTTATAATTTTTCTCTTTCGTTTGTATCATCATCTATTAGCTGCAAGAACTAGATTCAGCATACGGTGATCAACTTCAAGTTATTCCTCTTTCTCTTGATTTTTTATCTTTAAAATTCTTTATCTTCACATGCCTAAGTGAAACGAGTGGCGAACACAAATTCAAGAAAAATGCTTCATCGGTGAACTACATTCCATAACGCCGAAACACTAGTTAGATGTGGAAGCACTTTCAAATTCATTCGAATATGCTTTAACCATGTGTCTCTATTAATACATACACGACAAGATAGAATATAAATAGAATAGAGAATACCTCGTTTTATTCAATCATCGTTGGTTGCCTCTTCATTATATGTGTCATCGTCGGATGTCTCCGTATAAGATGTGTCTTAATCGGATAAATTTAGAGTGGAAAAGAGAAAGAAAAGGTATCAAACTCACATGGCTTGAGGATATTGAAGGAGCTAAGGTGCTAGTGTTGTTAGGTTGGAAAGGTAGCATGGACCACTAATGGCTCGATCTAGTGCTAAGCCTTTAAGAGGGAATGCTTGAGTTGTATTTATTCATACGGGAGCATACGAATAAAATATTGACAAAAACATAAATTTTACAAGTACTCAAAAATAGTTGACCTCAAAAAAAAAAAAAATAGACTAAAAATGGACCGACCGGAAGATATTAGCTTAACTTTACAAGCACCAACCTCAAAAATACCAAATTTGAAGTAGAAATTCGAGTGGCAAAGAAAAAAAAAACATGATACTAGAACTAACAACAACATACAACATTAAGAAACTAATATTAAAAATAAAAAGGAAAATAAAGTTCAACGTAATCATCTAGCATATTCAACCACAAGATTACAATACAATTCATAATATATTAAGTTATTTTCAACCGAATAAATAACATACTTAATAAAATATCATAAATATAATTAAAAAATAAATCTTTGCTTGTCTTTTCTACTCAAAGATCATCAAGGCTCACTCATTATATTGGAGTTCAATGTAATCGTCAATTACTGCAGATCCTCCATTCATTAAAATTAAAAGTGAATTAGTTACCATAAATTTTTTTCATCTTTGTCATTTAAACTTTGACATATTATTTCATACCTCCATCTTCTTTTGGATACTCCTCATACATAGTATAATAACCATCTGAAAAAATGGAGTTCCACCTAAAAACAAATATAATAAACATAAGTAAGATATATAAAATTTTTAAGAAATTAATAAAAAAATCAAATTGATAAGTAGAGTTTTAGTGAATTAATTTTTTTTTCAGTTGCCCACAACCAATTTTGAGCACACATTAATGCTTCTACCATCTTTGGGTGAAGTCTACTTTGATGTGAACTTAGTAGCCTACCACCAAGCACTAAAAGCTTATTCTAAAGCAACGATTGACACGGGGATTGTTAACACATCCTTAGCAATTGCCATAAAAGTTTGCTTTCCACCATACTAGATATAAAATCTTTGGTTCTTGGAATAACACCTCTATCTAAGTAGTAGTCTAGCTTTGTCTTAACAAAGTAATCTTAGCCTTCTTTCTTGAAACGTACAAGTCAAACTTAGATTCTATATCCTCACAAGCTGTTGAAGGATTAGCCACAACAGAGCTACCACATCCCGCATCCACATTCCTATTTTTTGGTACTCGTCGACAAACAATAACAAAGCTTTCTTATATTCTCAATCTAAACCATAGCCTCATTCCCATAAACTTTCTCAAAATAAAACTCCAATCAATCTATTTTGTACCTAGGATCTAAAACTAGAGCTACTCCCATTATTTTATGAATGACACTCCAATGCTTATTGAACTTGACTAACATACTTTCTACCATTTCACTAACCATTTGATTAGGACAAGTGAGCCATTGAGTCAATGCAATCTTAATTTCATAAATTTTAGTGAAAAACATATTAGTCATGGGGTATCGAGTTCTTGAAAACAATTTAGTAATACTATAAAAGATCTTTAATCTCTCACATACTTCCTTTGTGAATTCCTAATCACTATCGAGTAGGAGAAACCTTATAATGAGGTTCACGATGCAACAATCTAGAGAAACAATCCTTATATAATAAAGTAATTTCATACATAAAATAAGTATAATTCCATCTAATTGGATAATCTAAAGCTAATTTCTTCATGACATGAATGAGAAGAAAGTTAGCATCTTCCTTAAACTTTTCAACTCTTTTAAGAGTTGTTGTCCAAAATGTTACACTATCTTAATTCGCTCAACCCCTTCCTTAATGACATCTAACCCATCTTTCATGATTAAGTTAATGATATGAGCACAACATTGCATACGCAATAAAAAACTAAAATTCAACAAATCTTTAGATTTTAACTTATCCTTCACATAATCAACCATAGAATCATTGGTGGAAAAATTATCCAATGTAATAGTGGATAATTTTCCTTCAACATTCCAATCCATCAAACAATCAACTAAAGCATATGTAAGGACAATGCTTGTATGTGAAAAAGGAAGATACATAAACCTAAAGTAAGATATAAATTAGTTATAAACTAGAAATATTAAACTAAAACAATTAAACAAACATCATTAAGGTAACAAGAAATGAAGAGTACCTCAATAGACTGACTTCGTAATATCCAAGAACTATCAATGTAATGAGTTGTAGTGGCCATGAATCCTTTTTTTGGTTACTCGCTATTCATAAATCATTAGTGATGATAACTCGACTTTCAAGTTTTTCAAAAATTCTTATCATTTTGGCTCTCTCATTGTCATATATCTTAAAGACATCACTTTTCATTGTATTTCTACTTAGAGACTAGAATAATGGTTGAAGAGTACTTGGTAAACTTTCCGAGGCTGATATGATTAACCACGGAGAGTGGGTATTCATACATTACGATCATAGAAACAAGCTCATTTCTTCCCATCTCTTGATCAAAAGTAAGAGATATTACATCACCTATAAAGTTAGAAGTTAAAATCTTTTGTCTTATGTCTATAATTTTCCTCCTTGGGCATCTCTTAAAGTCATCATGCAAATGTTTAGTACCATTGTTCGACTTGTCTCCAAGTTGCTTCGTGTAATAATTATGTTCGCCTTTTCTTCACCATTCATAGTTTTCTTTGTGAATTGGTTCCACACAGTATTATATTGCCTTCTACTAGGGAGACTGGAATCACTTTGAAGTTTACCCATAGCAAGTTATAGAGATGAAATTGATTCAGCAACTAGAGTAGATGAAATGGAATTCAAATGTATTGGTACGAGTCCGTAGATGGGAGCTACCTCCATCTCCATAGCTTGTCATTTTTTGAAAATATACAATAGTTTAAATTCCGGACTATCAAACAAAAGAAAAATATTTGGACACTTGGATCTTCAAATCTCCATGGATTTATGGAAGTCATCTTGCGAGAAAATGACACCAAGATGTAGAGCTATCACCCGAATAGATATGCAGCTTTTATTGTGGGGTAAGAATTCATTTCCATCCTCAAACACTTAATACATTCATCAATACGTATAAATATTTGGTTTTAAGAATGTGCATTTAGTTACTCGTACTTCAATTGATTTATTTCAAGATGGATTATGGTGAATGGACGAGAGAACAACGAGTGAGATATAATAAGTGGGATGGCAATGCATACTCCACAATCCAAGTATGTTGAAAGATTTCTATTCTATCTTATTAAATGCCTCTAAAACTCTTGGTTATGTCACATTTTTTAGTCATCGTTTTACTTTCCCCGTAAAGATCTTCTAACAAATTTATCAATTATTTTTTATAGAGATTGGGTTGTACACCGAGCAAAAAGATCGAGCTTAAACTTACTTGCTAGATAATCATTAACCGGTGGTAATAGTACCGAGAGCCCAGTTACCGACACCAATAGTAAGATTTTTAAGAATGCAAAATTTTCATATAGTTATTTTTTTCCTTGTTTGTAACTCGATTATTATCTAAATCTCCTATTCTATATAGGTTTATCTTGGGGCATGGATAACAATTTTGGTATCATTTGACAATGTTGGAATGTGAAACCTCGGAACGGAAAACCTTAACTCTTGGTATCTTGTTCGGAAATGTATGTCGAATTATCAATCCGGAGGAGACTAACAAAACCGAATTGCCCATTCCAAATAAAGCCCTCTTTTGTGGTGCACTTAGCAAATTACTATTGTATATCAAATAAATGAAAACTCTTAAAAGCCAATAGACATGTTCATAGAGGAAGCTTAGTCTTAATTTGAGGGGAAATTGGTAAAGATCCCAAATTATTGAAGAAGATATATAATCATAAACGGATATGTACGCAAAAAGTAGATATTATGGAATCGGATTACCCATTACCTAATTACCCATTGATCATTACAATCTAGGAAACAAATCCACTATCCGGATCTTACAAGCAACAATTCTAGCAAGAAACATTTCAAAAAAAATAATTAGCGAAAAAAACATTAATTACTTGGTGAGTTGGTGGCTACCGATTGATGAGTGGTGGAAGACTCAACACTAGTGGCTATCAAATGATGGAGTGGTGGAAGACTTGACTCTAGTGGCTATTGACTAGTGGAGTGGTGGAAGACTCGACCGAGTGAAGGTGTGGTATAGTTGAAAGTGAAACGAGGGCCAAAGGAAAGGAGATATAAGTAAAAATAAAAAATGAACAGATCCGAATAATCGACTAACCTAATTACCTAAGTGACTAAGTCACTATACATGGTGTAAAATGAGACGAGGTAATAAATCCCATCCCTACCCCATCCCACCTAAAAAAAGCGAGGCGGGGCGAGGTGGGGCTAGGTCGAGTCAAGTTCAATTGCCATCTCTAAGTGACCTCCTTTTCAACGAGAATAAAACATATAAAATGGATTCAAAACCACCTGGCAGGCTCATCTCATAAACTCGGTAGGTTCATCTTATAAGTGGAAAGCCATCAAATATTTCTTTTTGATAAAAAAATTAAATAAAACTAGTTTTGGGGCCACTAGTGAGTTCATTCATATAGATGCGAAGTCACCAATGACTTTTTTTATGAATAAAAAAATAAGTAAAATGATTTGAAAATCATGAATAGCTTTGTCACATAAGTAGAAAGTTACCAATGACTTCATTTCAATGATTAGTTTTTAGGTAAAAATGGTTTTTAGGGCCAATAGTGGCTTCGTGCACATAGGTGGGAAGTCGCAATAGCTTCTTTTCGACGAGTTGAAAGCAAGCAAAATGATTTCATATAGTAGTAAACATGGTAATTATTTCATTCGGAATCAAGCAAAAAAATTGATAGATCAATAATCTACAACATGAATTTTTTTATTTTCATTTATTATTTAAAACTAATCTTTATAGGTCAAAAAATTACCTAAATGTTGTGATTGTGTTAAAAATTCTATTTAGATCAGTTTTAGTTCCTTCAATCTTAATGAAAACCGATTATTTTAGTTAGCTAAGAAAGAGGAAGCAACTATTCTTGAGCCTCTTTTTCAATTTTGTTTTGTTTGGCTTAAAATTCCATAATAGAAATTAATCTTGTTTTATCTAGTCTAAGGTTTCTATTCTAACTAACAAACAATACCAACACAAAAATTACGATCTACAACATCATGTTGTTCCTACCAAATATAAAAATCAAAAAATTAGATTTTTTATATTTTGTGTTACGTCCATAATTAATCAAGTTTCGTAACTACCAACACTATAACAAACCATAACTTTTGCATTTTTTGCTTGATTTTGTCCAAGATATGAAGTCGTAGTACTCGTGTATTTCTTAAGCTCGGAATGTTGGAGGTGGAGAGGCTATTGTGGGGGTGATAATGGTTATTTTTATTAGTGTGGTTCGATAAAGGAGAAGAAGGGTTATGGTGTTTGGCTAGTGTTTTAGGTAGTGGTGGTGTATGTTGTTTCAATTAGGCTAGGGGACTGATATGGTAGTAGGTCGTGGCTGGTTCAACTAGGCTATGTGATCGGAATGGCCGATGGGGTTCACGAGTTGGAATTAAGGAAAAGATGATAGAGGTTATAGCTAGATGATGGTAAGATGGTGCTGGTTCAACTGGATAAGGGGGAAATGGGATAAGGTGATTTCAGCTAGAGGGAGGAGAGAGAGAGAGAGAGAGGTTCATTTGTAATGGAGAGAGAGATTTAGGTTAAAGATGTGGGCTATTTTTTGACTAGTGATGGTGGTTATCTCGGTCAAGAGCTGGTGGTAACTATAGGTTGGAGTCGGTAGTGGCACTCGGATTGGTTGTAGGAGAGAGGTAAGTGGTGTGGTAGTTCAATTATTGGAAAAAGAAAGGCTGAACATTAGTTTAGTTATAGTATAGAACCAACCGGTGTGGTGGTTTGGTTGCATGAAAGAGGTGAGTGATGAGGTACTTTGATTGTTGATAGGTAGAGGTGAACAGTGGTTGAAGAGGAAGTGAATGATGCTCGTTCGGTTATAAGAGAGGGAGAGATTTGGTTGGATCATTTTATTGAAGATAATCAATAGTGGTTTGTCTCTAAGAAAGAAAGAAAGGGGTATTTATAGGTGGAATTTATGGCTTTTGGGAAAAGATCGATTTTGGTCCATGATTCCTTCTAATTCATCAATTTAAGCAAGATTTTGATTGTTTAAACTTTAATGGCATCCCTAATTTAAAATTAATCAAGACTTTTTCTTTTATATTCCTTCCAATTGTACTCTTCCGTTATTTTAATTAAAGGTCTTAGGTTTTGAGCCTTTTAATTGTACCCTTAATTAGGTCTCTCTTGATTGTAAAACTTTTTACTTATTTTAATTATACTCCTAGAACTAATTTGACCTACTAATTTTGATTGATTTCTTATATATATATATATATATATATATATACACACACACACACACACACACTCCTAGAACTAATTAGGTCTCTCTTGATTGTAAAACTTTTTACTTATTTTAATTATACTCCCAGAACTAATTTGACCTACTAGTTTTGATTGATTTCTTATATATATATATATATATATATATACTCCTAGAACTAATTAGGTCTCTCTTGATTGTAAAACTTTTTACTTATTTTAATTATACTCCTAGAACTAATTTGACCTACTAATTTTGATTGATTTCTTATATATATATATATATATATATACTCCTAGAACTAATTAGGTCTCTCTTGATTCTAAAACTTTTTACTTATTTTAATTATACTCCCGTAACTAATTTGACCTACTCGGTTTTGATTGATTTCTTATATATATATATATATATATATATATATATATATATATATATATATATATATATATATATATATATATATATATATATTATTCTTATTTATATTTTTTTCTCAAAAATAAAAATAAAAATAATAGGGGTAAAAAATTGGGTGATAACACTCCTTAAAACTCCTTTTATTTTCACAAAAAACTTAATCTTTTTCTCTTTTTTTTCTTTGTATGGCCAAACTTTCAAGACTCTCAAGGAGCTCTTTTTCTCTCTTGCTCTCTATTTTAATTTTCTCTCCCTCAAAACTAGAAAAGAAAAAACATCTTTTTTATGTGTGGCTCACTCTTCTCTTATATCTCCTTCATTTTTTTTTTGTTTATTTATCCTTTTTTTTTCTTTGTATGGCCAAACTTTCGAACTTTCTAAAATCTTCTTCTTCTATTGCTCTTTGTTTTAATTTTTTTCTCCCTCAAAACTAGAAAAGAAAAAATCTCTCTTTTTATATGTAACCAACTCTTCTTTTATCTCTCTCATTTCTTTTCCTAGCCTTGTGTTTCACACCAAGGATCATGACCATTGGTAGGTTCCTCTCTCGTTCTCTTTCATTGTCACCCATTTTAATTTGGGGAGTAATTTTCATTTAATTGTCGAGGCGAGTTGGTTTTATGGCATTAAAATGGGGAAGAATAGTGAGTTTTAGGTTTGTCTTTTATGAGCATTGGCCTACGGGAGACGCCAAGGTATAGCTTGGGAAAGTTAGAGGCGTGACTTATGTGTGGGGATAAAGATTGCAAGTAAGGTTTTATTTTATTTTTTATTTTTAATTCTTTGTAAACAACCTTAGAGAGGATGAATAGTAGGAGAAAAAGAGGGAGGGGGAGACAATTTGAATGGATGACATGTCTTCCATAAATTGGTGTTTAAATTCGTGTACAAACTTACACACATTTTATGCTTTAGTCCACGTGTATTTTGATTTTTCTCAATCGGACCCCTTAATTCTAGATACTTTGATCCCTCATTTCTCAATTTCCATAAATTGGTCCTCAATTGTTCCTAATTATTTCCCCAATGTTCGGTATTCCAAATTGACCCATAATACTTTCAAATTAATTTTAATAAAACTCTTAATAATTAATTCAAAATTAATTTCATTTTTTCCTTTCATTTATTTTTCTTTTTTGTTTTCCTTTTATATTTTTTTTAATAAATCATAAATGTAAAAATCATACCAAAATTAAAAACTAAATAAAACCCATTCTTAATAAAACAAATTCATAGAAAATCTACATTATGCAATAAATCAAGAAATTTATAAAAGATGTCTAAAATAAATATAGGGATCAAAATGAGTTATGACAAAAGTAGGGTGTTTTGTCACACTCTATGAAGGGGTACCCATGATGACAAAGACTTGAATGACTCGCTTCTACGAGAACTTATCCTCCTTCTATTCCTTATGAAGGAGTCCTATAGGTTGAAGGTTGGTAGGGTCTATCTTTATGTGGTCGAAAACCTTGTTTGATAGGATGTTGACGGTGCTTCTACGATCTATCGAGATTCAATGCACCTTATGGTCAAAGGTCTTTTTCAAGATTAACATAGCATCATTATAGAAGAAGGTTATTCCCTCTAAATCGCATAAGTGAAAACAATAGGCTCGTGCCAATACATCAAGTTTCTACCGATAAAAAGGATCGAAAGAACTCTAATTTATGTTCCTCTTGTTATACTAATTTGTCAATGCTTCCTCAAATATGACATTGATTTATAGGATGTCTTCATTGGGCTCTTCCCATTTGGTCATAGTTTGATTTGGCCTTTCTATTATATCTTAGAGAAACTATTTTAAATAACCTCTCTATTTCCTTTTTTAGGAAATAACAATCCTTCGTGTCATTGCCTACATCTTGAAGGCATAAACGGTACCTTGTTTGATTGTATAAATATTATGGTCTTTTATTGGATTTGGTAAGGAGTTATAGGGTTATTTCCTTATTACGATGAACACCTCTAATCAAAAGGCATTAAAGAGGGTCGACTTGGATCTTCAAGAATGTCAATTAGCTATGCACTAGTCCCTAAGATTTTTTCTCTAGATTGGAGTAGGTTGGCGATTTTTCCTTTCATGCTCTTTCTATTAGAAGTTGGAAATGAGGTAGGTTCTATTGGATGGTGATTATTTCTTACATCATAATGTGTCCCTCTATTATCTTTTTGATGTGGTAGAGGTTTTTATTAGGAAGAGAATAGTTTTTTTCTCATTAGTCGTTCTCCCTAATGCCTTTTATTAGTGTTTTGGTCACAATAAATGCCAGCAAGTCATTGATTCGCATCATTTTCTAGTGGAAATAGGTGAGGTAGGCTTCAAAGGTTTTTCCCTCTTGTTGGGAGATGGAAAATAAGTCCTTTAAAATTCACAAGGTTGTTGGTGGAGAAGCGAGGCTTAGTTTAGAGCATCGGTCCTCGAAGCTTCAAATACTTTGCATATAGCTTTTAAACTCTTGATGACGAGTTTAAGATTTCCTCAATCATTTCCGTACATGTTTTTAGGGGTCGGTTGTGCCATCATAATTTTTCAAGTTTATTTTTTTGATAGAAAATTCTTTTGGGAGTTTGGCATTTAGTATGTGTGCAGCAAATGGAGAGACCTAAAATTGATTACCGTAGTATTTAGGATCCAATTGAGCAACAACAAATGGTCACTTTTCTTTGTATTGGCATTTGGTTTTGGAGCTTACGAAGGAGGTTTGGGATGAGAAAGAGTTATCCTCATACTTTTTCCTATGCTTGTTACGAGTTATGCTATGTTTGCTCTTGGCATTAATGACAAGTCACCATTTTTTCATCTTTTATGTTCTTTTTTTGGGAGGCCTACCTTGTTGGTTCTTTATGAGGGTCGTAACTCTTTAACATTTCTTGAGAGTAATGCTCTCTTCCGGCAAACCTTCGTTTATTACAACAAACTATTCCCTCTCATGCGAATCGAGGTGGTTGCATTTGGCATGGTAGATTCGTTAGGCACGAATCTATTATCAAGAAGATAATTTTGGGCCTCATTAAGGGCTTTGTTGGGTTTGTATCATTAGTAGAATAGTTAGTGGTTTGATATGCTCTTGAATTAGTATGTATGCACCAATGAGTGACTCAACTCATTGTTGAAGTTACACCACCGATGGAGCATTGAAACTAGCAAATTTTGTTAGTATTGGTCTCAAATAAGTTTCTTAGTTTTCATTCGTTAAAATTATAGAAGGAAAACGATTTAAGGATTGGCTTTTTGCTTAATCCCCTCGAATGACGCCACTAATGAGATTGTAGATCCTCGATCTACAAGATGGATAGATAGGTGTTTTCCTTGGCTGGTCTAATGACGATAGAGAGTCACCGATTGACAATTATGAAGAGAGGAGAACCATCCGATTACTAAGTTAGTATGCAAAGAGAGGAGAAACATAAATTTAATAGGTTATGTAATGAAAATATGTATGATGCTTTTTTTTTGGCTTCTGTAGAGTGTTTAGTGCCTTTTTAGCTAGTAGAGAATGCTTTTATTTGTATTAAGAAATGTTCTTTTTTTATTGTTTGTGTGTGAGAGAGAGAGAGAGAGTCTACCCTTATGTTTATATAGCTTGCTCGTTTATAGTGTTTAGATGAACATTCTCTATCGAGGGATTCGACACCAAATTTTCCTTCATAAGGACAATTTTTCTTTCTTTTTTTTTGTCCTTCTGATGTATGGGCTATAGTTAGCATAGCTAATAGGCCTAGCGATCTTTCTTGAGAAATACTTTTTTTTATGGTGTACAACGTGTTCAGAACATATGAAGTGGTTGGATGTCCCATCGTTTCTTTGTAACAAGGATTGACAGGATATACTGCGAGGCATAGATGGATAAATCCCACTTGTTGGAGATTTCGTCGTATGGGATCCTAGGTGGTTGTATTTACGGGAGAATCTTCATTCTTTTAGGCTTAGATGAGCGACACAAGCAACACATAAATCCCGAATATATCAATAATAATCATAAATGGACTAACAATCTAATAACTTAAACTCTTACTTACAAGAATGAATTTATTATTAGTAGTAGTAGTATTAGTATTAGTATTAGTATTAGTATTACTTTTTGGTTTTATCATGAAGAATGTGAGTTGTTTATGTACGTAGATGACCTGTTAATAATTCACACTTTTGAATTCAACATAAATTTAATGTCCATTTTTTGGATGTCTTAATGACAAATACAAGGAGATTCCTTTATCCTAGTCTGGTTTACAATAATGTTAAAAGGTTGGTCAGGTCATGGTTAAGTAATTTTGTTTTCTCTTTTGATTTTAGGAATTCAAACCTTGAGATTAGTATTAAAGAAATTTTTTAAATTATTCTAAATACATTATATTCATGTAGAAGTTGTCTTTAAAAATCGTTTAGTAAAAATTTTAATTTTAATTTTAATTTATACACAAATTAATCTAAAAATAATTTTATCTTTGAAAAAAAAAGTAAATAAAAATCTCGCGAATAATTTCACATCATGTCCCCAAACTATTTTTCATAAAGTAAAGCGATTCAATGACCACAGAGAAAATTGGGACTGGATAAGAATTAAGGCCACCTCGCCCTAGTGACTCAGCCCACAAATTGACTAAATCCTACTTGATTTTCACTGCACCCGTGTTAACAGTCCGTACATATTTTGCACAAAGAAGTGCATTATTGAAAGACATATCACCAACACCCACTATGCATGAAATTGATTGAGAGATGACGTTAAACCTTAACTTTCAACCCAAGCATCATTTTCTTTCTTGTTTTTCTCTCGTCCCTTGGCGTTCTCTCTAGACATTATATGCATATATACCTACCACAGATCCCGTACTTAGGTCAAACGAAAAGTCACTCTCGTACGAGAGAGGGGAAAAAACAGGGACAATTTCCTTCTCAGAGAATAGTAACGATTTACCCAGCGGATGATTGGTCCAAGCAACGTATTTCACTTTTTATTTTATTTTATTTTGTTTTTATGTTCGGGAACACAGTCCTACTTATTACACATGATTGTACGCACCTACGTATGACCAAAACCTAACCAGAAAGTGCCATGCTATGAAATCATGACTAACAAAATTAGAGAGAAAAAAATTGGTGGAGGTGAAAGGGGTATGCAGCAATTGTGCTAAGACTAGTTAACAGGGGTGATCAAATGATTTTTCAATTCAGTTTTGAATAATTTCAATTTTTGGTTAATCGAATTACCAAATACAAAAACTAAAACCAAATCCAAACTAAATTAGAATTTAGGTTTTCGGTTAAAAAACCCGAAATTTCAATTTTGATTGTCAGTTTAAACCTATTTTTTTTTCTAATTTCTTTTTTGAATTTTTTTGGGCTTGGTATTGTCAATGTGAGCCTCGTGTTTAATGTATTGCTATAAATAAAAGGTTTGATTCCTAAAAATCTAATTTCGTTTCTAAGCATATTTCCTAATAACATATCATCATTTGAGGCTTTTAAAATCCATAATAAAAATACAATCCAAAATAAAAATTCAATCCATTTAGTATTCATAATAAAAATACATTAAATATTAAAATGTATCAAAATTTCTATCTTTTTTGAAGTTAGTTATGGTGTTTTTGAACAAGATGTGGTAAATGTTATTCAAGATGTCTTCAAAGAGGGTGAGATACCAATGGGATCACCGCAACACTACACCCAAAAAAGCTCGTAGGGGCAAAATATTTGGAGCGGTCAAGAAACCCGTCCCAAAATTTAATAATTTTATACCCACCGCGTTATAACAAAAAAAAAAAAAACATGGGCCGATTGATAAAACCGCCCCACCTTATGTTTTAAGCCGACACTTCTTTAATTTCTTCATCTTTTTATTTTAGGTTTTGAAACGAAGCTTAAGCATAAGCGGATCGAAAGCCACCGATAGATTGCACCAACCTTACACAAACTTAATCGACATCATCAACTAACAATTCTTCTTCCTTTTCTTCTTTTAAAAAACCACCCATTAGTCTCTCCAATTTCCCAAACACATAAAACAAACCCGGATCCACCCACCCCCACAAATCTACCGCCATTGTTCTCCCTACTCCTTCTCGCCCACCTCAATCCTTATCTCTTCCCGGTAATGTTTCTTTCATTTCGACTTGTTGGGTTTTTGATTCATTTTTATTTTTATCAATTAATTAATTATTTCTATAAATAATGACAAATCTTTATTGGGGTTTTACTCTTTTTGGTCTACTATGTATTGGTGTGATTTTAGATTTATGGGTTTTTATTTTATTTTATTAAATTTAGCCCATGAATGATGTTGTCCTCTCGTTAGGTTCTTCCCCTTTTCATTAGATATGGTTGTTGGGTATTCCAAATCTATTTGATTCTTGTTAAAACTAATGTGAGTTTCTATACTTGAGTTCATTTGTGTGTATCAATTTATTTCTTTTATGGATTTCTTTGTCTTTAATCTTTAATGTCTGCAATGTGGGTTTATTGAGCATTTAGTGTATATAATATTGAAAGTTGAAGTGGAAGCATCTTTTCTTTGCTTGTATCGGATATGTTCACCATATTTAAACACAATATGTTTCCTCTTATTCATCTATGCTTGTGTTTTGCTCTCGACTTATGGTTGAATTTGAAGTTGGTGTTGTTGTCCTTATTCAATGCTTTGTAAATAGAAAGGGTGTGGACCATCGGATATTTAAGAAACTTAGGGTTAAATTCTCACACCCCCTGCTATAGTTGTGGTATATTTTCCAATTTCTCTGTTGATAGATATAAGATTTATATATAAACATAATATTTTGATTATGTTGATTGGAATGGAACTTTAAAGTTTATAAACAATCTTAATTGTGATTTTTTCTTGTTTTGAGAACATTGAGTTATAGATTTTTTGTCATTTTTTCATATGTTCAGTAAACACACATATGATTTGAAATTTCATATGTGATCTACATGTAGTAATTACAAAGTAGCAAGTCCAATACACTCGGAAAGGTTGAGAATGCCAAATACCCGTAAGTTATTGATATCTTAAGATTAGTTCTTGGTTTCGTGTATTAAAATGTTAAAACTTTACAACCTCACTAAATTCCACTCGCTTAATTGGTTAAGATCAATTTATTGCGTTATTGTACTAAACTTGTCTTGACTACTCCGGAGTTGACTTGTCAAAGCTTAATGGTGAAAAGAGGAAACCAACCATGGAGATGATTAATGATGCCTGTGAGAACTAGGGTTTCTTTGAGGTACATACTTAGAGTTTTTTTTTCTAGAATTCTTTTCATTTTATGCGAAAAAGATAGTCTCTAATGAAGTATTTTCGAAATAGCTTGTATGTTATGATTATAATTAATATACTAACAATGTTTTTGATATGTTTGTAAATGAAATTGAGGAACCATGGGATATCTCATGATCTCTTGGACATTGTGGAGAGACTCACAAAAGAGAACTATAGGAAATGCATGGAGCAAAGGTTTAAAGAATTGGTGCCCAGCAAGGGTCTCGAGGTTGCTCAATCCGAAATCGATGACTTGGATTGGGAAAGCACTTTCTTCTTGCGCATGCTGAAATCAATGACATGGTGGCCAGCAAGGTTTAAAGAAATGGTGCATTCATTTTACTCTTCTAAGACGATAAGGTCGGTGGCCTCTAGCTCCTTAAGGATGACTAATGGATTGATGTTCCACCCATGAACCACTCCATTATGATCAACTTAGGTGACCAACTCAAGGTATATAACTATATCCACATAATCCTTCCCGACCATTACTTTCCTTTTTTCTAGTCACTTTCAAGTTTCAACTTGTGGTTTTAAAGTGTGAGAATATGTAGTTGTAATCAAACCTTGAATAACAAGGAACTAGATTTTAACATGAATATATACCATGTTAAGGGAAGATAGCTTTAACATTAATAAACTTTGGTTTCATGGTATCTTCTCAAATGTCATTTAAAGTAGCTTTGTCTTTTAATGAGAATGACATTGTTCTATTTTTGTCATATAGGTGATTACCAATGGCAAATACAAGAGTGTGATGCACCGGGTGATAGCTCAAATAGATGGTACTAGGAGGTCATTATATACGTCCGAATCTAGTTTATTGTTATGTTTGCTTATGAACAATGCACATAAAAGGCACTAGGGTGTATGATAAGTACATTTCCTTTTTACTTAGCCTCGTCCAAACTATAATAGGAATAGGATCTCAATTGGTTGAAGAGTTCTTGCGGTTTGACTTAGGGATTTGAGAGTCCGCTCATTTAATTTCAGTTATGTCTTTTATATCTTTTATATACATATATAAAGGTTGGTTATTCCTTTGAATATATATATATATTAGTACTCGTCGTGTGCTTGAGAAGACAATGGTTGACCAACAACTCGATGATGAAATGTGAGAAATTTGTAAGCTATTTTTACATCCATGATGTAGTACTCAAATGTAAACTCTTTAAAGCAATAAGGATAGAATTTGTATCTTTGATGGTTAGTAATCCCGGAGATCTCAATTATGCTTATTAAAGTTTGCATGGTTTTGGTTTATTTAAAGCACTTATTTCTTCCTCTTAAGAAAAAAGTATTTTTATCTATTCAATCTTGCTAACTCTTTTGGCACTCGAAACCATTTTAGAATTGTCTTATTTGAGCAAGAGCTTGACAATATAGTGCAAGAGCTTGAAAAAGTTGTCGTTGTAAATCTTCTCGAAGCAAAGATCGATAATACCTACTCGGGTATCATATACTTTTAAGTAAATAATTAACATGTTTCTTGATCTTAAAATATTTTTAATGAGTTTTTATCTCGTATTTATATTATTGTTTTTTTTTTTTTTTACTTTCAAATTATGCTTTTGATAGGTTTGCATTGATGGTAATGGTCAAAATGCTCCTTCTCCTAATCGCTCATCCCAATTAAGTCATCTCGTCGAAATGAAACATTTTTATAAAAACATGATTTTTTTTTTTTGTAAACATTAGCCACTTATTTTAAATTATATTTGGAATTTTGTTTATGTATTTAGAACAAGTGTTTAATCCTTTAGTTTTTTTATTTTTTTTTTACTTGTGAATGTTTGACGACTTTTTATGTATTTGAAATTTAATAATTCCAAATTTAAGAATATTGGGTAAGCTATATAATTTTTCTTTTATTTGCATTCAACAAAATTAAAATTTTATTTAATTGTCTATTTTTTGACAAAATTAAAAAAAAACAATTGAATTAGAAGGATGAATTATAAAATCCATATAAATTTGAAACAAAATTCATTTATTCCGCATGAATTATAAAATATGGAACGTAGAGGCGATTATAATCGCATCTACAAATTATGAGTTTGATAGTTTGGGGCGGTTTTGAATTTGTAAACTTCCAAAACATAGAGGTGGTTCTAAACTCGCCCAAAAAATTACATGCTAAAAAACTCTTATAATAATATTAGTATTGTAGAGGCGGTTTGAACCGCCCCAAGCAATCGCCTCGAAATCCTCAACGGTTGCCAAAATCACCCCTACACTTGTAGAGACGATGGCATTGCGGGCGGTCTTCGGGTGGTCCTCAAAACCACCTCTACAATCGTAGAGGCGGTTATAACCACGCTAGAAGCCAAAAAAAAAAAAAAAAAAAGCTCGCTTGCAATATCTTTTTTGGTGTAGTGCTACTTTCATGGTGTTAATACCAAAATGCTCCAAGCCTATCACTTCTACCGATATAAGACCTATAAATCTTTGTAAGTTTACTTATAAATTTTTTTCTTGCATCATTAATAATTGATTAGGTGAGGTGCTACCTTTGTTAATCTCTAAGGAATAATCGGGATTTGTAAAATGGAGGTTGATACATGAAAATGTATCACTAGCTCAAGAGATGTTTACTAATATTGACGGAAAGATTCATGGGAGAAACATGATTTTGAAAGTGGACATGGCCAAGGCATATGATAGACTAGAATGTGATTTTGTACTCGTATGTTTTAAAGAAATTTGGGTTCTTCAAAAATTGAAGTGATCTAATTTATAAATGTCTATACAATTACTCGGTATTTATTACACTTGACCTCTTAGTCTTTTGGTTTCTTCAAATACTCATATAGGGTGAGGCTAGGGAATCCCCTCTCTCTAGCCTCGTTCATTCTTGCTCAGAAGCTTTTAGTAGAAAGCTGAATACATTAGTAGAGTAGAAAATCATTACTCCTTATTACTTTAGCAAGATAATAGTTACGGTTACACCCCTCTTATTTGCGGATGATTTGCTTCTCTTCCGCAATGGTAACAAGAGGAATCTAAAGAGTGAGCTCTTTTATTGGAGTACTCCCCAATAAGTGGTTAGTAGGTTAATCTTTGAAAGAGTTCTTTCTTTTGTAGCCGCAAACCGCCTCTAGGAAGGAAATCTCTTCTTATGATATGGATCGGTTTCTCACCTACTTATAAGGTTATAACTTATTTGGTTATGCCTTTATTTAAGGTTAGGCCTCATATGGAATTCTTTATACTCGTTATAGAATAAGATCAAAGACAAAGTGGTATGATGGAAAGGTAAATTATTGTCTACAGGTGGTAAAATAACTTTGATCCAATCAACTCTAATATCCCTCCCCATCTACACAATGGGGGTTCTTCCCGTTCGAAGGCTTTAGTTAACGGAATACAACGATATATATATCAAATTTTTATATGGAACAACAAGTGGAGAGAAAAGGCATCATTGGATCAATTGGAAAATAACTACACTCCCTATCCGGGAAAGGGGTTTAGGCATAAAAAATCTTTGATAAGTTATGCTTTCTATAAACGGGAAACTTACATGGTCCTTTCTAGCTAACAACTCATTATGGAGTGTGTGTGTGTGTGTGTGTGTGTGTGTGTGTGTGTGTTTGTGTGTGTGTGTGTGTGTATCGTGAGTCGGCTAATATTATTGCTTCAAATAGACATAAGAGATCTTTCGTTTGGAAGGCACTCGCTTCCTCACATCCGTTATCTTTTGGATCACTTTATCTAGGAGGTAGGGCTAGGCAACGTGAAGTTATGGAATGATAACCGAAAAGTCGTTGATCTTTCTTCTCCCTCTAATGACCTTGATATAATAATTGAGCATACAATTTCAAACCCTCATGGTTACAACTCTCCCCCTCCTCCGGTGCCCAATAAGAGCTGGATCTTTTATTTTTGGAAAAGAATACGGATGATAAGTTATGCTTTACATGTTTTAAAATTAGAGTTTTTAGTACTAAAGAATATCATAATGTAATTGAGACAGCTTGCTCTTAGCTTTGCATTATAGAAGAGTCTTTGGTATCTATGGATTCCAAGGAAAATAGGCATATTTGTTTGGAAAATGTTAGGCAATGTAGTGCTTTACTCGGTTTTAAAATGGTTGAGTAAGCAATTTTAAATGCTCGTCGCTTATAACTCCCCCTTTTATGTCCAATAAAAGCTCAATCATTTATTTTTAGAAAAGAATATAGATGATAAGTTGTGCTTTACTAGTTCTAAAATGAGAGTTTTCAGTACCAAAAAAATCATAATACAACCAAAACAGTTGATCCTAGCTTTGTATGGTGGAGGAGTCTTTGGAATCCATGGATTCTATGAAAAATAAGCATATTTGTTTGGAAACCGTTACACAATATAATGTTAGTGGATAAAAATATTAAGGCATGTGGAATTCCTTTGGTTTCAAAATGTCACTACTACTTTACATCGAGTGAGGAATACACAAATCACCTTTTCTTTTATAAAGAGACAACTCGCTTATCTTTGATAAATTTTTTTTTAGTATTATGGATGTTCAAACATATGTTAAAAGCATTGGGCATCTAGTGTTGGCATGGTTTTATAAAGGTAAGGTTTTTTCATAAAAATATTTTACAAAGATGGTTTTATGTTATAGTATATTATGAGAATTGTGGTTAGCTAAGAACAAATCCATCTTTGATAATGAAAGAATTTGTTTGTTGAAAATCAAGCACAAAGTTCTCATACTCCTTGAACTCACCATCCCGTTATACCCAAAAAAAAAAAAAAATAGCTTCCTTTCATGATAGTTTATGACTAGATGTTATAGGTCTTAAAACTATGACAACTCCTTTCAAGAAAGTGGTCTTGGATCAAATGGCTTCTTCCTTCCATAGGTAAGCTCAAGCTTAACACTAATGGGGGCTTTAAGTGATAATCAATTTAGTGGTGGTGATTTGGTCCGAGATGATAAAGGCAACTCTGATTCGGCATTTTCACATTTCTTTGCTCCAGGATCTAACTCCATGAGGGAGGCTTTAGTCTTACTTGGAGGGGATAAAGTTATGCAAAGAATATAATATTTTATATGATATCATGGAAATTGACTCATGTTTGACTTTGGGTTATATCTCATAAGTTTTTTATAATCCCTAGTATCTTATCTATATTTTTATGAAATGCTTGGCTATGATCTACTCGGGAGTTCTTATTCAACACTACTTTTGGAAAGGTAATATGGTTGTTGACAAGCATGCGGACTAGGCCTTTCAACACGTTTCTTGTAAGACACTTTTGTCAAATGATATTCCATATTATTATAGAGTGGCTATCTCTAATGATAAATTTGAACTCTTTAACTAGCAACCATAATGAGTGGTTTTTATGTAGCTAGGTCAGCTCGCTTTATTTACGTCATTTCGTCGGTAGCTTTAACTTTATGTATTCTAAGAATTTTTCCTTGTTTTTATTTTAGGTAATTTTCATCTCTTTTTCGGGGGTTTAGACTCGCTTGCCCTCTTAGTCCGTTAGGTTAGGTTGGATTATCCCCCTTGTCCCTTTTTTTATGATTCATTAATAAATTCTCAAGATACCGCTCTGTATTCCATATATATATATATATATATATATATATATATATATAAGTTTTTAGTTATGAATCAATGAATTTTTAAATTATTATTATTACTACAAGATTTTAGTTAAGAATTTGAATTAAAAAAAGAAGAATAAATAATGTTTTTTTTTAGTAGAAATTTATGAAAAAAGTTAGTCAAAATTAAAATAAAAACAATAGTAATGTTGACTAGTAGCTAATTATGGTGTGTTGGAGGATCACTTGGGAGTCACTCGAACCTCAACGTGTGAACATTTATACATAAGGATGAATCCTATCTTAACCCATAAACCTAAACTAATGGGTCATGAGTCTATCTTATATATATGCACATTAGACTTCTTATTACTAACTAATATGGAATTCCTCACTTACAAGTGAAACTCAACATGGTGTAATCCCTAATTTTTTTTAGGAAACAATTTTCTAACTTTGAATTGATCAAATATTTAGATTTTTTTACTTTTATGGAGAATTAGACCCATTAAGTATAAGTCTTTGGTTGATGATATTGTACATAACTATATTTTTGTTTTAATAATTGCACCT